TCTTCAGCTGGTCACCCCCTGTAGAAGTAGGGATTACAAGAGGTTCCTCCTTTATGAGGACTGGTGATGGAGGGAGAGCTAGGGGTGTACCATCTTGTTCTCTGGTATCATGCATGTCTTTCAGAAGCATTAGGAAGGTACTGAATTTATAATTGGAATCAGGCCGAAATGCAGTCCCTTCCGAGTCACTGCTGTCCTCCTTCACAAGAGATTTAAATGTTAGTTCCTTGACATCCTGGAAAGCGTCCATTGGAGACAGAGATGAGGACGGGGAAGTAGATAATGACAGTTCTGGGTTTTCTTTCTTGACCTCAACAGGCTGTACAGTGGGTTCACTTGAGTCCAAACACTTAGACCTCATTAATGAGCCATTACGAATTTGTTTCTTATCAGGTTTCCTTGCACGCCTTTTTGGAAAGCTGTGATTTGCAGAGGATGATACTTTGCTATGTAATTCCAACTTTTCAGTTTGGATGGCTGCATCAGTAGATATATTGTCAAGAGAATCATCAGCATGAGCACCTGTTGAGATTTGGTTTGTGACCAGTGCATCTTTGAGATCTGTCTCTTCCTCTGATTTCAGAGCCCTCGTCATCAGACGACTGCTGGCAGGAAGATTCATAGAGTGCTTTTCATTTGAACTGTACAACAGTTCATTACAGCTGCCCAAACTCTGTTCAGGTTGTTTGTTTTTAGATCTTAATGTCGAGTGGTTCACTTTTTCACTCAACTTTGTTTTAGCTTTTGTGGAACCCTGTTCTTTCCTGACCAATCTGTGTACATCCTTTATAGGAGACACTGCTGTGCGTTTAGGACGATGCAGTACTGGAACTGAATCCAGATCTGCATAAGGTGAGTCCTTTGGCTCATCTTTCAGTGCACAAGTTGTTGTATTAAAAGGATCCGCTGTGTTTGTGATGGAAGATAACTCCTTTGATCCACCAACTATATGGCCAAATATGTCTGACAAACATTTCTTTTTCTTCTTACAAGCTTTGCCCCTATTGTTTTGAACTGCAGCAGAGTTTTTTACGAGATCATGCTCATTGCTATTGTTGGTCATATTGGCTGATGGAGGTTGAGCAGAATCCACAGAGACAGCAGGGGCCTCCTGTGTCTTTTCAGTAGCAAATGGACTGGGCACACGCTCCTCTCCATTGACGGATATTGAAAGCACGCTTTCAGTATTCTTTTGTCGATTTGAAAGAAGAGACTCAGCTTCTGTCACACTGACTTTCCAGGCAGTCAGTAAACTTTTGGGTATCTGCCAAGAACAGAAATAATATTAGTCCACAAAAAACAAATGTCCACAATAACATTATATGATATTTTGAAACCAATTTCTTGAATTTACCGTATACTTGTAGTCTTTCTCCTTCTGCTTCCCTCTCCGTCTAAGCATAGGTAGGCCTTCAAACTGATGGCCTCCCTCAAAAGGAAGAACGGCACTCCCGGGGACCCAGGCAGACTCTTCAGTCTCCCCAATCGTCTCCAGGAAATACATCAGACAAGGACGAGGACTGGGAACTAAAATAAAACATAATAATATATAAGTGGTCAACTTATTAATCAACTCATATATAATGTATAATTCCTTTGGAAGGTGTTACCTATCAGGTAAAGGTTGTGATGTGGGAAACTATTTGGTTATGAAATCCATATTCAAATTAAATTTCCTCTGCAGCTTTACTCACCTTTCATCCTGGTGCAGATGCCCTGGTCACAGGTGATTTGGCAGGGCCACCAGGGCCGCCTGTTGAATTTGGCCCACACCAAGTCCCCTTCCACGTATTTCGCGGTAGAAAGAAGCTTTTTCTTTGGGCTGTTGGACTAACCAAGACAATAAAAAAACTTTAATGTATAATCCAGAAAACTGTGATATAGTATGCAAACCGGAAAAAATCCCCAAAGTATTCAAATATATTCTTGTCTAATAAACAGTTTATGTTTCTGTTGCACTTAAACTTTTCTCTGTTGTTTTGAGTGCATAATGTAAAACTTTTCCTCCCTACACACGGCACAATTCATCTCTAAACGATCAATACAAGTATTTTTAGGATGACATTGGTACACAGCTGTTGGTGAAAGGTGGTCCAGGCACAATGAAATAATGACTTCAACGCATCGACATTCTTTCTCCCTAACAGTACATAACCAAGTTAAATTCTGAAAACATAATGTAGATTTTGTTGTACAGCGGTAAAGGAAAGTATCCAAGGTGTTTCAGACTCACATTGGAGTTGGTGCCAGCTGGTGAAATAAGTCCATGGTCAACAGGAGAGGAAAGTTCAACATCACTGTCTGATTCCTCACCCAAGCTCCACCCATCCCTCATAGTGATTTCCGGCAGTGCACTGGGGCTTAGAGTAGGGTTGAGTTCAGATATAGTTTTGGACATGAGGTTAAAGACAGTAGGTTTGTATGTTCTTTTATCCACCCCTGAGCCCCTACTGTCACTCACAGTTTGGTCCTGACCCAGCTTTGGGGAGTGGTAAAAAGGTGCCATGTCCTCACTACCACTCTCCTCCTCCTCCTTGATGTCACTGCTGTCAAACAGTGTGGACTCGAAATGCAGGTAGCCATTTGGAATGGGAGAACATCGCTCCATGCTGTCAGGACTGTGAGGGGAGAAGCCATTCCTGCTCACATCCTGAATAGTCTCAAAGGGCTCCGTATCATCAATCCCTGGAGAAGAAGGCAGCTGCACTGACAGTGCCTCAAATTCGTCATCATCACTATTATCATCATCATCACTGATGGGGCTTGCACAGTGCAAGTTGTTCCTCGGTTGGAGGTCCCTCTCTAGGTCCGGCCTGCTGACCACAGTGTTCAGGTTCTGCAGCCTCTTCAGCGGGCTGTAGCGGTGGGATCGGTCTGGCTGGGTGTACCCCAGCACAGCAGGCTGTTTGATGCTGGAGGATGGCAGCTGCACGGCTGGCAGTTGGTCTGATCCACGTCTCACACTGCATTGGTTTCCATAGGAAGTGCCTACAAGACCATTGCGGGGCCTCAGCTCAGGCTGGCCTGAGCCAAACCCTGAGCCTACCCTAACAACAGGTCTGTATGACTGATTCATGTTGTCATGGCTAGATCCTGTCAAATAAATAAAAAGCAGGTTAGACGGGGGAAATGTGCCACTTAAGTTTCTCAGTAACTACAATATGTAACAAATGAGACTTGTATACTGTAAACACAATAAAGCTGGTAGGCACATCAAATCATTGCGGAAATAGAGCGACAAGCATTTCGGGTAAACAGACACCTATAAAGTAGCACAGGCTACCATGAACTGTGCGCGCTCACACAGAGTAATAAGCCGACTTTGCATGGCCTCCATACTAGAGGCCGGTCGGACTGCAAGACAAAACACAGAACACATCCGCTGCCCCGCTCCTATCGCACATTTCATTCACAAACTATTAGAAAATAGTACCGCTTTGTCTGATGATTGTGGGTCATGGCGATCGCTGAATTGTACAGTCAATGGAGGAGCGCTAGTAGTGGATGTGGTGACACTGAGCCATCACAGTGAGTGGCTCACACAAACAAGCTACAGCCACACACCGACAGAGGAAGCTACTATTAACTCTAAAAAGGGCTGATCGGCAGTAAGTTCACAACACTATCAACACGTGTAAAAACGAGAGAAACTCACCATTTGGAGGTCGGCCAACGTGAAACCAACAGCGGATGTTTGATAATGTGGCACAAAGCGAGTGTTTTTCTCGGTTTGTGGAAGCGTATCTGCACAATCCCAGCTGCAGCAGCACTAGCAGTAGGCCAAGGCACAGCTCTCATTCTCTGCACTTCATCAGCCCCCTGAAAACTGTAACCTAAATACAAAATAACAAGTAAATCTCCATTACGCTGCAACAGCGAAATTAAAATGTGCCATAACCGGTCCATAAACTTAACAACAGCTTATTTACTACATGATTTTTGCCTGCTGTCGAAGTGCCCCCGGTTATGTTAAAACAAGCCCAGACTGACTGTGTTGGTGAGTAGCAACCAATCGGCACTGCTACCCAACCCCCCGTCTGCACAGGGCCGTGACACTCACCCTCTCTACACACGCACGCTCGCACAATTAAAATCAAGCACGCACACAATAATTGACGTGCATGCGCATCCAGGTGAAGTGTATCATAGTTAATGGTGTATAATAGCTATATGGCATAATAAACAGTAATGAATTACTTGTTTTTGGATATGTGACCCATTTCTGTGCGTCTTTCATTGTTTTCTGAGCTTAACCCTACTGACAGGCCTGTGTTTCTGACTGTGTCGCAAGGACATGGAGAATACAGAATGGTTGCATTGCGCAAACAGCAACACGGCCTCTCCGGTCATAACTCCGTGCGCCATGTTGCCTTTCCACTGAGTCCTCTGACATGAGGAAACAGGCCGCCAGGCGCTCAGGAAAAATAAAATAATGGAGTCAATGTGGCTGTAAGCGTGCACAAAAACTGAATTTGCGCCGATTAAAAACCCCACTGATCGTCTTCCATCTTGACACCAGTAAGAATTTGATCCGTGTATTGAAGATCGAATTGACACATAAACACGAAAGCACAATGGGCCAGCCCTTGAAGATCAAACAAAGACCATCCGGTTACCGACCTGAGAGCACAGGAACTCTGTGCGGATTTTTAAAAATACTATCAAGGCTGTTGATTTAAATAGGTAGGCCACTCATATCTCACACATTTTTGTTGAGTGATCCAGTCCAAACACTGAACAAATTCGAGAAAGCAACTTATTTACCCACCCTGATATGTCAGCTGTCTAGCGTTTACACACTGTTATTTACCAGTTCGGATATCTCACGGTGTAACACTTAACTGTAAGACTGTAGATATCAGAAAGCTAGGACGTCATTTGATTTCACAGAAGGTAAATAAAGGATTTATTAGAAGGTGATTATATTGCCTGGGGATACGGGCCCTCTTGTGTCCACAGGGAGAATTACATGCTTTCGATATTACAGGAAATTGAGTAGGTACGTGGAAAAGAATGTATTTTATTTTGGTTTCACATACAACACATTAGTATTTATTACACAAACCACAAAGCATTTTTTTCAGTTTTTCAGTCATTTCCCCCCCTAATAAACAGCATAACATACACGTAAATCTGGAAGTGCTTATAAAGTCAGTTTGGGGATGATGTTACAATACATAAAACTATTCACAAAGTGCAATAATAACAAATACTGTGTTCAAAAAAACGTTATGCAGTGAGTCTTACCAGTTCAAGCAATTACAAATATATTGCAGTGCTGCTATTTTAGGTATGATGCAGGATAATATCACAACATAATACACAGATGGAACTAGACGCCACATAAATGATAGCTATATACTTGAACATATGTATGCACAGGAAAAAGCATATTTGTTAGGCAGTAAGTACTAAAATGCAGTTTTATAAATGTAGAAAACGTCACAAAGAACTGGTTCATAAAACATTAAAGCAGAGAAAGAACAACTCAAGGCAAGAATGCTTGATGAAAAAAAAGGATTAACTCTCAGTAAGGTTTTAACCAGACTGATAAATACATGTTTTGCCTTTACTGATTAGTGCGATTAATTCATTCACATGCATCTCTGCCAAACTGGAATAACATACTTGTAATTGATTCATGTATTATGATACCATGAAGACAATGTCAAACACTGTACAAACACTCAGTCAGAACCATTTCTAAATGGCAAAAAGTTATTTCCTCCAACATTTGAGATCCCATCGGCATCTTCTTGCTCATGCACATTTTCCAGCACTGGAGAGAGGGCTGCAGAACTATTCACTGGATTCATCCATTTTGCAAATGGGCTCACAGAGGGGTCTTTTCTCCATCAGGTTGTATGGAAAAGGTGGAACATCACAGCCAGTGAAGTCCAGTTTCTTGGGAACACTGCAGTTAATAAAGTCAAGTTTCTTGGTGCCGTCACAACCAAAGTCCAGCCTCTTGAGCCGAGCTAGATTCTTGATGCTGCCGGGGGGCCGTCCGGGGCTGACCTTATATCCTGCTGCTTTGGTGGTACCAAGGGGCCTTCCCGGGCTTGTTTTGAACCCAGCTGCTCTAGTGGTCCCGAGTGGACGTCCAGTACTTGTACGATATCCTGCTGACTTTGTGGTCCCTGATGGCCTCCCTCTCCTCCCCGACTTAACTATGCTCTTCTTCTTTTTAGAGCCATCCAGCCCCGCCGCCTCACTGCTCCTGATCCTCACTGTCTGAGGGTGGAAGTCGTTCTGGGTGCCTTGCATTTGACATATCATGGCTTTGTGCATGCCCTGCGGCAAAGGGGCTAGGCCGGCAAGGGACAGCTGCAAACCAGGGGTTGTCTGAGATGGGTAGAATTTGTTGGACTGTGTGCTACAGAGATCAAAGTGGCTGGCTGGATGACAGTCCTCTGCCAGCCCACTCATACAATAGTCACTGCTGCTGCTTGTCACTTGATGCATCATTTTCTGTTGGAATGCAGAGAAATACAAACATTAGGTGGAAAAGCTACTCATGCAAATGTGAACCAAGAAAAACAAACCCAAAGAAGCATTTTTAGTAGCTTACTTTTGATGGAGCCAATAGGCCTTTTAGCGTTGCAACAAAACACATTTTACGTCAAGACAAAGCGAGGTAAACTACAACTATAGTTAGCATAAAGCCAAACAAGTCTCGCAGAAAAATAAATGTTACCGCATGCAATACCTGGTTTATTTTAAAAACGTAAAATAAATAGTTCGTACCTCATTTGTTTGGTGAATGTTAGATGGAAAGGGTTAATTTCGGAACGCATACATTATCCTTTTCTGTCAGCGACAACATGTTTATGAAGACGCTGCTCAAACTACGCCCTGGCATTCATGAGTATTGTCTTGTAGCGGGGCTGCGATTTCTGCTGTTTATTTCATGGCCATTTAATCCTTTAAGCAGAGGTTTAGATGAGAGGAGCAGCCATTTTCGCCTGGATAATTTTTTTGATATAACAGGATGCGCTGACCACGCATGCGCACATATTCGGAAACGGCAGAGGCAAATCGGTATCCCCCATTGTGGTTCTGGCAGATTAAACAAAGACGCATCATAATAGCGTGCGTAACTAAACAAAGGGCCCTTAGTTACATTATAACAAATACATAAAAATGTACACAACTCCAGCAATACCATCATCTGCTACATTGTTCAAAGTGTGCAAGTACTCTAATCCAATTACGTTTTTAACTCAGTATTGCTGGTAATTAGGAACTAAGAGTGTACATGTGCCACAATTACAACAACAGAGACACACCTTCACTTTTTGTATGTTTTATTAACATCCATATCAACTTAAGTATAGACACTGGATTTATGGAGCAAATGCAGTGCCAGGACAGATAGCAATATACATTTCAGCGTTTCCCCCGATGGTCTTCTCCAAACGTATGAAAGTCCATAGGACTTAAGTTTCCTTGATGAGCTTGGTGAGCTTCAGAATCTTTGTTTTGGTGGACATGTCCACATATTTGTCCCCGATACTGACGATCATGCCACCAAGGATGGTAGAATCCAGCTGTGAAGAGGAGACAACGTTTTAAATTACATGCAACACTTAAAATGTTAGGTTAGAGTATTTTTTTAAATTAGCTTTACTTATATTAATGCATTTGTGACCTAAGACTATATTTAGTATGATAGGGAAAATGCTTTTTTGTTCCGATAGGCTTCCAATCTTGAATTCTAGGCATGGAAAATGTTTTGGGCAACAGTCAACCTTGACTATTGATAACAGTGCTCTAAGAATTTCACAGGATTATTTTAAAATGTCTTCCATTTCATATATTAGATATGTGAATATAACTTTTTCTCCTATAGTTTTTTAATAGAATATATGTAAAAGTATTTATTTCTTAATTAAATAAAATAAAAAAGTTATCCCATGTGCCCAAAAGCTTAATAAATGAGATAAACTTGGAGTCAAGACAACTGCAGAATGTTTTGCAACATACCTTTGTTTCCAGCTTGATAGATTCATGCTTCTGAAGAAAGCCCTTTAGAGCTACTTTCAGGTCAGCAAGGCTAGCTGCATCCAAAGGCTGAAAATTGACAAATGTTACTTGGTTGATTGTATAACATATTTGCAGTAAACAGATGCAAAAGTAACTGATACAGAATAATGACTGCGGTTTAAGGTGACCAGTGTAGTCCAATCCACAAGGATGTGGAGTCAGATAGATATCGTGTCAACTCATTTTATACCTGTGCAGTGGTGACGGTGCAGGACACCTCTCCACGGTGTGCACTCATCATTTTGCCATAAGCAGCGATGACGTCAGCAGTTATAGTAAGACGGCCATTATCAGCCAACACATCTGCAAAACAAAAAGGAGGATACATTTGAGGAAGATGCAATACTGTCCGTTTCCCTGCATTACCAACGGATGGCCTTCAGTTCAGCTAGAGTGTAGAAAAGCCTTTTTAACCTAACTTTAGAATATAAATAGTGTTTAGGCAATTACCGTTTGACTGCCTTGTTCCAAAAAACACTTCCAGAGATTATTAGACCACAAGAAGCTAACGTATGTCTCTGACCTCTACGGAGGTCAGACAAACATTATGTTCTACTACTCTATTTTGCTGCACAAGATGGTTTTCATTCCCATGTGACTTCTTATTTTAGATAAAACAGAAACATTTGTGTGTATACCCAACACACTCAAGTTAGTAGAATTTCAATCTAGCACCAACTATAAATAATTAAAATGGTTGAGGCTAGGCAAGCAAACATGTTTTTACATATTCAACATTGAAAACACTGCGCATTTAAGATGACTTTTTCATATTTTTGCATGTTGTAATTGTGAAACGTTTTTTATGCATTTGTATCCTAACTGGTGTGTGATGGTGGACTCTTTTATGGTAACGACCTTACACTCACATACCTGTGTTTTACTCATCTTTAATTAGTATAAATCCATGCTAAAACTTGTAGCAGTATTGAGGGCAGTAACTCACTGATGAGGTTGAAGGTGATGGGGGAAACCTTGGACTTTGCAAGACCATCCTGGAAGGTCTTCTGCTTGAAGCTGCGCTTTACATGAGGATTCATTACAATACTGGAAACCTTGGGGTCCTTGATCAGGGACTGAAAAACAAGATGGCAGAAAGCAAGAGGACACTAAATTAATGTACTATAATAGAAATGCATGTTGAATTGAAACACCATGGATGAGCAAAAACTGAAAATGAATCCATAATTATCCTTATGTCTGATACAGAGGACATTGTACTGTAAATTGATTACCAAAAATTATATTATTATGAACTTGTGATAAAACGTTGAGAAAACACTCCTCCTCATCGTCACCTTTACATAATTTAAAACTGTACTTCAAGGTCTTAACTGTTCACTTACAGACACTTTCCCCAGCTCCTGCTCCACTTGGTCCAGAATGTTCTGCTTGCTGGCAGCCGAGAACAGAGCAGTGGCATAGCGGCCCTCCACCCCGTAGACCGTGATGGGAGCCTATAAAGACATGTACACACAGATTAACTGCGAACTCTAATCATTTTTAAACAAGCGTCCTGCAGTGTGACGATATTTACCTTAACCAGTTTTTGTCTGATGACAGACGTGCTGAACTGGCGGGCCTAGAAAATAAAAAATAAATGATGTCAACACAGATAAAGCAGAACATTAGCCGATTAAACTTTAGGAACCAAGTGTACCGTTTACGTTAATCTGAGCTAGCTGGTAGGCTAACACATTAGCAGTCATTCAAGTGCAAAGGCCTCGTGTGGGTTTTTTGCACATTAAGAGTTACATCCTGGTCTCCAAAGGGAATACAACACAATAAGATGTGCAACTGAAATGATAAACAAGTCGGTCAAAACCACTGTAACATGATTAAAATCACCAAAATCATTGAATGTCTTACCTGCTGTCCTAGCATGAGTGCTGCCATTTTCTCCTACAGCTGTGTAGAGTAGAACAAACAACTGCGCATGTGCCCTTGAGAGGAAGGAGTGTGACTGTGGGTAATGTAGTCTTTCCAGTGTGGCGCATTCTGACAGGTCAGGTCTATAAACAACATTTCTAAAAATAACAAATGTGGGGCCATTCAGTAGTGTAAAAAGCAAATACACATTGCAGTTGCTTTTCTGTTTATATAATATGACGTGTAAACCCAAAATAGACTCACTGTCAAAAATAAAACTGGCAGTAGAGACCACACATTAATTGTGTGGGAAGTTCAAAAAAGAGGTTCAGTGGTTAGATAGGCTATAGAGTTTCTATTAGCCCAGAAACCCCCCAACCGACTGCTACAAACGGCAGACAACATACATATCTGTTACATTATTATCTTTGCAAAAATGTAAAGGATGTGCTTAGTTTAAGACTTCAGCAAAGTCAGTTTATCATCATGTGAAAGTTGTTGGATTTGTAATGTTCAACCTTTGGTCATGACTGTTCCCGCTGTCGTCCAGCAGAGGGCCACAGAGCAATTTCACTCTTTATATAACCGAGATCAAGACAACATTAAACCAGAATGAAAAATTAAGATAAAATACATAAACCAATTATATTTCATCCCGCAGGGTTACATTTGCGTTTTTGTTTGTTTGCTAAAATCCTCCCCAGAGAGCCCACCACCGATGCGATGACGTAAATGTGATTTGTTGCTCAGCCTCTCTGGACCAGAGTTAGCTGGTTGGGTCTACATTTCTCTGAGCTAGTATTGTTTGCGACAATAATAAGGGGCTCTATGACATTAAGTTTAACTGTGAATAGTTACGTCACATTATTTAGGTATCATGTGAACTAAACACTTTTTTCTCTACCAAACTGGAGGGACGCAGGGCAGTTGACGCATTCGTTTTCGTGGAGCCCGCACACACATACACATACACACGTACAAACTGCGAATGACCAGAGCGCTTGCTAGGACGTAGCATAGCTGGGACATCAAACGAAACGAAACTGCGAGAGGTTTTCCAGATTTGTTTTTAAAGCTGGTCGGCTCGCTAGCTGACAGCAAACCAGGCATGGACGACAAGTCATTCACCAAGGAGTTGGACGGATGGATTGAACAACTGAATGAGTGCAAACAGCTGAGTGAGAACCAGGTCAAAGTCCTGTGTGAAAAGGTAAGGTTTGCGCAGGAAGGAATTTAGGCAAGCTATTGATACCTGTCGATAGATATCTGCAATGCTAGCGGGCCATTCGGGTTACATCTCCTGAATCATAAAGTATTGCCTTGAATAACGTCAGCTAATGCATGTGGCCTTGCTTTGGAGCGCACCATTTGGCTGCAGCTGCATGCAGCACATAGGGAAGCAACTCGCCAAGAAGATGGAGGAGGAGGATGCCTGAAAATATGTTTTCCTAGCTACGCCCACTCCTGGTTCCTCACTTGGGTGCACTGGCAGTACCACATCACGCTATAACCATCTGCTGCATAACTCACAATCTGAACAATTATGCAATTCAGTCTCCTAGTGTATTATTGTAAAACACGTGCATACCCTGCACCATACTCCATGTTTCCTGTTCATCACCCTGTGTTATCCTGGTCCTCTATTTTAGGCCAAGGAGATCCTTACAAAGGAATCCAACGTGCAGGAGGTGAGATGTCCAGTGACAGTCTGTGGAGATGTCCATGGTCAGTTCCATGACCTGATGGAGCTGTTTAAGATTGGAGGGAAGTCTCCAGACACTAACTATCTCTTCATGGGAGACTATGTTGACAGAGGCTACTATTCTGTGGAGACAGTTTCTCTCCTGGTTTCTCTGAAGGTAAAAAATCAAAACAATACTTTGCCTCTCACGCTCATATGAGGTTTGATTTGGGGTAGGCATAATGGGTATGGCTAATTGATCTTCCATTTTGTTTATATTCACATTTTTCTTTTGAAGGTAAGGTTCCGTGAACGAATTACAATTCTCAGAGGGAACCATGAGAGCAGACAGATCACACAAGTGTACGGCTTCTACGACGAGTGCTT